AAAAAAAATCAAATTTAAATAATTTCCCTATTTTTCTATTCGAAAGAACAACGTTTTTTTTAGTTTCTACCTCGTTTTTTTACGTAGGATAAATGAAAAATGATGTTTGACCCTGCCCGGCGACACACCCCTTTTCTTGATCACGTATGCAAATGCAGAGCGATGTCCTGGGACAGGATCAGTGATTCAACCCTTTGAGGACAACTGCTGGCGTCCGATCCGCGGACGTGTTGTGCATAAATTAAGGCATCCTTTCGTCCTTTTGTCCTCGAACCCTTGGTGGTTCGGCAAAGGAAACGCTTCCGCATGGAAATGAGGCAAAAAATCCGGATTTTTTTTACTCCTTGTCTTCTGCCGTCTGCGTCTTTGTGCGAGTCCTTTATCCTTGATCGTCACCCTGAGCCCAATGTGTCTTGAGCCTTGTGGGTAGCCTGGTAGGGAGAACAAAAAAAAAAATCGTGAGAAAATTTCCAGCGCCAAATATTCAAATTAGGTAACCAAATGCCGCCCGTTGCATACTTTTTTGGGTGATTTTTTGTGTCCGCACCCAAAACGCCGGGAAGAAAAAAAATCATCAGGATGCATGCTCATCCTTGCAGCCCTTATTGTTGGGCTCATCAGTTTTTTAGCCCATTTTTTCTGATTCCCTAATTTTTTATGCTTGACTACCGAAAAAAGTCGTTTATAATTGGACCGAGTTCAGATTTTTTTGCCGCCTTTTTTTCTTTCCTATTTTGAATATTGAAATCCAGTGTGACAAGTTTTTTCCTTCGTTTTGGTAAAAAAGGATCGTCAACTGAAGTCTCGTTACTGTAGTTTTTTTTATCCTTTTTTTTTCTTAATAAAAAAGCGGTGCGAAAATGTTAATTAAATTTTTGTTATTGCGCCATTTCAGGGTAAAATCCAGTTCCCAGTATCACTTCTTTCAATTACGCAGTTAATTTTAAATTTTTTGTCTTTTGAATACAATTTTTTCTACCATATTTAACACGTGTTGGTTGTCAAGGATTTATGCTGTAAATTGTTACCGATTGAAGGAAGCAAAAAATCTGGGGTTTTGTTGAGTAATAGTAAACATTGTTAAGTGTTTAATAAGCCCTTTTGGAAAAAAAGGTCTGGTAACAAAACTTTAAAGTATTAAAAAAATGGTTTGATTAAAGAGCGCTTGCCAAAAAAAAAAAAGATATGTAACGATAAAAAGTATTTTTAATTGCCAATATTTACATATAGCTTACAGTTAAAGTTCCCAAAACAAAAGACATTTTTCTTCGCCAGTTATATCAACATTTTTATGTAAAGCTACTAAACAACGAATAAACTTACTAAGATTATGATTACATCTTAAAATTATTACTTCAGTTGTTTCAAGACTTTTTCTGTTCTGTTTTTATTTAACTAACAAAAAGGTATTTGTATATTCCATAAGCATATACAAGTTTCGTTAACAGCAATCAAGGGATAACAATCCGTGAAAATGTTTAGCCTTCTTCCAACATCTGTTAGTCTCAGATAATGAATGACTTTCCTAGATGATGAAGAGTTTTTAAAGTAGGTTTTTGTGAGAAGGGCAGAGATCGTATTTCTGATATTCGGCATTAAATATATGAAAATATTCATTTAACACTTAAGCACTCCAAATACTCAAAAAATTTAACACAAAATCCGAAATCGAAACGTTTAATTAAATTGGCTCAAGCCTTTTGTGCAATATGCCAATATTCGCTTGAGTATCAATTTCATAACAATCGAAATGATAAAGAGAAATCAATCCAAACACGGGCCCAGAAACCTCAACAAAAGCGGCGAGTGTGCCCTCCAGTTTTTGTGTGCGAATCCATTCAGCCAAAGGGTGCAAATATGGATATAAGAATAGCTAACGAAAATCGCATCAAATTTCACAATATCGCACCTTATTAGAATCGAACAATACCGCGGTTCACAATGCGAAATTGGGAGAAAAGGATGAAATGCAAATGCCACAAGAACAAGAAGTTATGGGAAAAACATACACACCTTCCATTCTCCTTCGATGTGTTCGAGCCCCGGGCTAATCGGTGGAGTGTATCCGCATATTGTGTGCATTGTTTAATAATTTCATAAATAGTTTATCCAAGAGAATTGCTGAATGCCGAACCGACTAAATGCCATTCGCGAACGGGTTACGCCAGAGAAAGGATTCCTCGGCGAGTCCTCCTTTCTTATGCTAAGAAGAGTACCCTATCTGGGGTGAAAGGTTTTTTTACTGTCGGAGATCCGGATGTTTTGTGTGCAACCCCTGATGGTCGGATCCTATCTCTCCCACCCTAAATGTGTGCGTGTGTGTTTTGATTTCGGGTCTGGAGTTTAGAAACCATAAATCTATTGATGCCTTTGATGACGCCTTTCTGCAGCACCGAAATGATCTCTTGGCATTGAAAACGCATAGACAATATTCAAATGAAAGTAGTTTGCATAATGCCTTTCCCAAATACTGATAAATTAGAAATATTGCACGGGAAGAAAAAACGGATAGGGAAGTTGTAATAACAATCAGGAGAAACGCTTTAAGTTTGGACTTAATAAATAGAAATGCTGTTTAAATTATTAGAAATAGAGAAATGGTGGTAAGCTTTACCCAACTTGACTAGATATATTTCAAATACAGTTGAGTAAATATATATTTTACTAAAATTAAATTGTTTAAGACAACTATTTAAACATAATTTGAATTTTATTATTTTTTATCGATTTAAGCCATTCAATATAATTATAATTTATAAAATTTCATAGCAATATCTTTATAACAAGAGGTTTTGTAACATTTGAATAAAAATCCATAAACAACTCTTAGCTCACACATTTTTGAACATAAATCTTTAATATGTCTTATTTTTGATAGTTAATTTTATACTTTTACAAATAAAAATTAACAATAATTATTATTATATAATAAAACCGATTTTTCTGGTTTTCTTGAAATTTAAATAGAAGTATAAATCATTTATGGTTTTGAATAACTCTTTTTTTCGGTCGCAGATAAAAACAGAATTTTTTGTTATAAGAACGGATAGAACAGTGGCCCTGATTCTGCCAAGTATTTCGTTTTTTTCAATGACCTGGCAGAAGAACTCATATAGTTGTACAACAGACAGATGCCACTCTCAAGGAAGAGTCCTTGATGGCCCTCAGGCACTGCATTCTAATTATCATATCGATCAAGCTGCAAGTAAAAGTGACAGTCCCAAGTCCAAGGACTCTGCCAGGACAGAAAGGATCCTGGGCCACAATTTTTTTTCTCATAGTTAGCATAACAAAGCCTGATGAGACGCACAACGGACGGAATCGTGATGATTTCAGCACCCCGAGACAAGACAGTCCCAAAGAAAAGGAGGAGAGTATGAGGAGAGTATGAGGAGCCACCCCGAAGATCGGGTAGCGGGACAATAACCACCAAACAATCCCATGATCATTAGTGCATCCTATAATAATGCGCATTGATATGCTAATCGCGAGTAGACAGGGCTCGAATGGAGAAACTTCAATGCCTGAATGCGTCTATGATCGATGACGATCGCTGGCAGAAATCAAATCATTTATCAATTAAATTATTGGCAAACATTGGCTTGTAGAGCCCTCGAAGCGAAGGGTTCGATGTGCTAAAAACGTTTCCCCTTTCGCCTCATTTTTGCATTGTGGCCTTTGTTTTGCATTTTGCACAACTGCCAAATGATCGATTATCGATCGGCAATCCCTTTATCCCGGATCTTTGTCTTCTGCGGTGTGTTTGCCAATTTTGCTTTGATGATTTGTTGGTTTATTGTCAGCGATCCTTGTGCTTCCCTCAAGGGCGTCCTTTTCCTCATTCCCCAAAGGATCGTGCCGAATATTCGCACAATCCTCGGCGAAAACACCGATCTTTGTTGACAATGAGACAATTGCCGGGAATCCTTTTTAGGGAGTTTATGTCTCTATCAACTTTATTGTTGTTTCCCTAACGCTTTGTGGGTGACTATTCACTAACAACAATCCCCTTTGTTTGGCCAATTTTTATGAGCTATTTAGGAGATCTTACTTCGTTGTTATTTGCGGCATAAAAAGATCATAAAAATCATTTAACTTTTTTTTGTTTATCTAACACAATTTGCTGCTATTTATAATTCCATTCAAACGCTGTGCTCAGCAAAGACGGAGGCGAAAAAAAAACATAAATAAATAAAGAGAAAATAATAATGAGAAAAAGCACCTGTTAACAACTTAAACAGGTTTTTGTGTGGGACTTTTAAATTTATTGTTTTATTAATTAGCCATGAAATTCGTTTTTGTTTTATATTTTTATATACATTTAGACATTTAGAGGTATTCATGGACTGAATGGAACTTTGAAGTTCCTTTGTCTGCCATACAGAAATATCGGCTTACTAATCCGTCAGAGGTCTTTAGATCTTCATAAGGTATCCAAGAAGTTTTGTCTTCTTCGTTTCTCAAGTACCTAGCCGATTTGAAGTTGCAAATCGTGACGATTGCGGCGACGGATGAACTAGTTTTATATCAGGTATAAAATACCAGTATATATGCACAGCATGTTGAAAAGAACTCAATGCGAATCAACTTGAATGAATCATTGCCATTAATCTCCGTGTCGATCAGCCGAAAATTTCAAGACTCAATCAGTCATCAATCATTATTCGCCATCAGAGCGTAGCCAGCACTTTTAATAACCCCCTAAATCGCTCCTCAAACGCCGCCACTGTCACGTCTTAAGCCAAACGGCAGCTGCGAGTGAGAGAAATTTAAAGATAAACTTCGATACGATCGTAGCCCTACATTTCAATGTGTGTGGATACTCAGATTATATGGGGTGAACATAAATCTCTTATGTCGCCTCGGGCACAAAGAAGTTCATCTTGAGGCTGCTAAGCGGATTAGGTTGCATTTTTCTGGATCGTTGCATATATATTCGATCCGCTTCGATTCGCTAATGAAAATGCAAATCTTGTGGAAGATTTCAAACACCAAAATAATTAGTTTATAAATAATTTAAAACTTTATTTCTCAATTTCTCTTTCAGGCTGCTTAATAAGTAGAAAATATCCTTAATCTGCTATTTAGTTGATAAATAAGAAAGTATCTACGGTACTAGAGCTAAATTGGTACGTTTCAATGTACAGCACGTAATTACATACTATGTACACTGTAGAAAATATATCTAGGGTCTATCGCAGTACTTTGTACGGCTCCTAGCTGATATTAAAACTGTGAGCTATTCAAACTATAGTTGTTTAATTAGTTCAGAGCTTTAATGAGAATATTGCTTAGAGATATTTAAAAGAGGGCGCCTTAATATCATGTAGAAAATCCTGAGTTGACCTATATAAAATATTATTCAAACTACAGTTGAAAGGGAGGCGAAAGAACTCAAGGATTGCAGTTGGTTTCCATATTGGTTGAGGCAGTGATGGAATTGATGTTTGGCTGAATCGTATACAACTGAAGGAAGGATTTTGGCTTGGACACCATTTACAATCCCAGCTCTTACGCCTCCGCCAACTTGCTTCTAACTAAAAGTAACTTAATTTTATTTTGAAGAGTTTCAAGTGGTATGGATTCGAAGGTAGAACTTAGCAACATTTTGTTGTATGTTTTTTGTTTGACTCAGCCTCTTCCTCGAACCCAAGCCAGTTTAAACGGAGACCTTAAGCTAATGTCATCGTTGCTGCCTCTTTTGGCCTCGACCTGGCCTGTACTATTGCGCCTTCTCCTTGGCGGCATTCACAGCACTCAGTCCCAGGGTGAGATGATCGCCAGCGATGAGGCCCGCCGCTCCGGGCTGGTGGGCGTAGTTCCGGATCTGGTGCAGCGAGATGAGCTGCGTGGGGAAAGCGGCCGCTGCTGCCGCCGCATTCTGCTGATAGAGATAGGCGGCGGTGGCCGCCGGCGGTCCGCGATGCTGTTGCAAATGGGGCGGAGGTGGTGGAGCCACTGTGGCTGCCAGTGGGGTAAAGGCGGAGGAACCGGGTCCAGGCGATGGCTGGTGCTGCGCCTGTTGTTGTTGCTGCTGCTGCGCCTGCGCCTGCGCCTGCTGCTGAAGGTGATGTTGCGGAGTGGACTGGCGCAAGACAAGATCCTCGCCAGCGGCCTCCTCGTGTGGACTGTGCGAGTGTCCTGGCGTGTCGGCCAGCCGCTGATGATGCTGCTGCAGCAGCTCTTGATGCTGTTGCTGATGCTGCAGGGAGGCAAAGTTGCCGTACGGCTGACCGCCGGTCTGCGGCAACTGCTGTTGAATGGCCTCCGCCAGCGATGCTGCCGCACTGTCCGCCCCCATCTTGGCCCAGTAGGCGGCATTCACATCGTTCATGGCCTGACGCTGCAGATTCAAGCCGATCCCGCTCGCCGGCACATGCTGCTGGTGGGCAGCCACCTGGGCCGTGTGCCTGTGCTGTTGCTTCTCCGCCTTCTCGGCGTGCTTCTGCAGATGCTTCTGCAGGTAGGTCTCCTGCGTGTACGATTTGCCACACAAACTGCAGATGTGCGTCTTCAGGTGCTTGGAGTCCTTGTGCTTGGGAATGTGCTCCAGCAGGGTCATCTCGTCGCCGAAACACTTGTAGCAGGAGTTGCACTTGAACGGCTTGTCGGTCTGATGGCAACGCGAGTGCGACTGCAGGTTCGAGAGCTGCGAGAAGGCCTTCGGGCAGCCGGCGTGCCGGCATTTGTACGGTTTGTCACCCGTGTGCGTGCGGATGTGCTGCTGCAGGTGCGACAGCTGCGTGAACTTGCGCTGGCAGATCTCGCAGCGGTATGGCTTGATCCCCAAGTGGATCCGCGTGTGCTGCGACAGGTACGATGAGTTGGCGAAGGATTTGCTGCACGAGGCGCACTTGTAGGGCTTCGCCTGGTCGCCATCGCCCCGGCGACCCTCCTCCTCCGGCGAGGATCCATTGCTGCCGCTCCCACTGGCGCTGCTCATCTGCTGTCGCGGCGGCGATCGACTCGGATCATACTGCAAATAAATATGTATTGGGTTAGACTCGGTTCAACGTTTTACTAATAAAAAGCAAACGGTGAAAGGTTTAAATCCTTAAAAAGTTTAAAGTCTAATACATTATTTGGAATACGAAATATATTAGCGAGATTTATGTTTCATCTGATTCAATATAAAAAAAACCTTTTGCCTTTTAAGGAGAAATTTTAAGTAAAGTGCATTTATATCCATATTATGTTTTCCTTATGATGTTTGTCCCTCAATTGTAAAAAAAATTAAAAAGCAAAGTTCATCCTTTCTTCCTTGTTCTTCCGTCTTAGATTAAAGTTCGACAACAAATGGCACTGTTTTATAAATAAAAGGATATTTGAAACGAATATATAATTTATTAAAAAACAACTAAATATTTTTTCCTAATATTTATAGAATCAAAGTGATTAAAACATAAATAACTCTTAGAAAACTCTGGAATAAATGAGACAAAGAAATTTACGCCTCCTTTCATTTTTTTCCAATTTGTTGAGTGCGAGGGGAAATATGATGATTCGAACTCTTTAGTTTAAAGTTTCAACACTTACCTTCTGCTCCTGTTGCTCGTGGGGCGTGGGCGGCGAGTTGGGCGCACTGTAGCTGACCTTCAGCTGCGGCGGGTGCTGTTGCTGCTGCTGCTGCTGTGGGTGGTGGAGATGCTGCTGCTGCTGGGGATCGGGATGTGGCTGCTGCTCCATGACCATTTGCTGCTGGTGCTGCACCAGGCCGTTCTTCAATGAGTAGTCCAGCCGTTCCGCGACATTTTGACGGAATTCGCTGATGTTGAAGGGCTTGTAGTCGTGGACCAATTGGGCCGTGGTCAGGTGGCCCAATGAGCGCAGCTGATCGATGGAGCGATGCAGATAATCGCCGCTGGGGACGCCGTTCGGCGCCGTCGGCAGTTCGGCCATAAGCGGCGTCTGATGGCCGCCAAGGGTCAGCGGGCGGTAGGCGATGGTGCGAGCGTCCAGCTTGGGGGCGTGGTCAGCGAGCTGAGACTATCCGGTGCAAGTGAGGGAACGAAGCGATGGTCTTCGTCGTCGGGAAGTCGACACTCCACTGGCGGGCTTACACAACTCGGCGCGTTTTTGTGCTGAAAGTACAAAAATATTGTAATTCTTGAATCCACAAAATTGTGCCATGTCGGCACAAGTGCTTAAACTACTTTTCGATTCCGCTTTACTGCCTCCCCACACCCCGCATTGGATACATTAATTTCTGCACATTAACATAAATGTGCATGAATTAATTAATTGTTTGTGAATTAAACGTGCTGCGCTCTGGAACAAAAGTCCACAAGAAGCCGAAGATACCGCAGCAACTGCAACCCAGTAAAAAAGTTGCCAGTGTAGCGCAAAAACCGAAAAGAATTAATAACAATGCCGGGCAAAAAATAGTTTGTCAACGGAAAAAGTCACAAGATAAACAAAAAAGGCGCTTGCGGCCAGAATTGTTGTTGGTGACAACAAGATGGAAAGCGAAATGGAATCGCTTTCGGGCTGAAGAACCGAAATGGGGGGGTTACTCTGGCAGGGGCGATTGGGTGGTGATGGCCTGGCAAAAAAAGTCAGGGGCGCCAACGAAACGTGTCAACAACCTCGAGAACTGAATGCAACTACACCTGTAACACTTTTCGGGGCGGTGCAGCTAACTTTCCGATGGGCCAATGATGTTCTTGAGGTGTAAACTTATATTAGTTGGTAAGATGATTAACACAAAGGTCACTTGATTGTTTAAAAAGTGAAAAATAGCCGCCTACAGGCAAATAAAATTAGAGAACCAAATTTTAAAGACTACATAATATTTCAGAGCCATTGAAGAATTCTGAGAAAATTGATAAAATTTTATATAACACAGCATACTATTTGCAAACATAGTTTCTACATTTCGTAACAGGCACCGATTTGATACGTTTACTATGTTAAACAAATTTTTAATTTCTCATGAATTTTATCAATTTTTTTTTTTTAATTCTTTGCCGTTGATTCATTGAGGAAAAGGAAACCAAAGGATAAGTTGAGATAAAACTAAAATGAAATTTGTATTCATTTATGGTGAATCAGTTGTTTTAGTGAAATTATGACTAGACTATAGATTTTACTTAATTAAGGAACAATTGTTTTGAAGGTTTTTATTGGCAACTAATCGAATTCTTTTCTCTTTCTCCTTTTTCTAACGTTCAATTTAATTTAAAGCGCACAAGCTCTAGTGAAATTAAATTTTTTCTTTAACTCAGTCACCTCTCCAAGCACAAAATCATAAAAATGTCAAGCATTCCCTGTTCTCTCATCATTTTTTTAAGACTATCAAACGGATCGTAAACATATTTAATCGCCAACTTAAATAAGCGTAACCATATTTACAGATTATCAGCTATTAAGAGAATCGTAGATATTTTAAATCACGTTTAGGCTATGTAAACAAAATTATTAAAGCGAAATTACATTTTAGGTCAGCACCAACACTTTTTTTTTAGGCCGTTATCCTTTTATATGATATTAAGATATAAAATATCAAAAATATTTCATTTAGGAACTATAAGTTTCTTTTGTCTTTTTTTTTTAAGAAGTCCGTCTGTGTTTAATATTCAATTAAATTTATGTGATTAGTTAAGGCTAAGCTTTTGATTAAAGTGCAAAACTATGTTAAGAATAATTCTAGCAAGAAATAAATTAGTTAAAAACTGCTTTTAAGGGAAATGTAAAAATAATAAAACCTTAACTATAGGAAATAAATTGCAATTAGTAGACCCTTGTGAAAGACTGTAATTTTTGCGCGCGAATTTGATTGTGACCTTTTGGTCGGGTGGGTGTTGACGTCAGAGGTAAATTCAATTTTGGATTTTGTTTTTTTTTCCTGCCTGGTCAAAAAAACCGGTTTTTTTTTTTGTTAATGCTGACGTTGGACAATTGAACAGCATGGCAGCAGGAATTCCGTTGAGGGGGAAGGGGAGGAGGTGGGTAATGTAATGCAAAAAAGGACGCGCCATTCGCTTGTTGCGCACATTCAGAGCGAGACGGGGCGACAAACAATTGTTTGCCGCTCAAACAATTGCAATAAAAAAATAAGCGAAAGTGGCGACCAACAAAACAGAAGCCGCAATCGTGTAACTACAGATCTAGGAACACAGAAAATCGGCCACTCAACCTGATAAATGCAAATGGGGAATAAATAAACGCAATCGGGCCCCAAAAATACAACAACAAAAATCCCCAAAAAAAAAAGAGAAGCCCAAAAAGCATATAAATAAAATGGTATACACAAAAAACCTACACCTACCTACACACAAAAAACGAATCAACGAAAATTAATTGAGCGCGAGCAGCTGAAAACAAAAGAGAGCAAAAGAGCGAGCAAGAGCGCAACATAAACAAACTAGCGGGCGGTCAACAACAACAACAGCACAATAACCGCAACTCGGACCGCTCTCTCTCTCTCTCTTTCGGGTTGGGGGCGACATGTGTGCGAAAAAAGCAGCGAATATTTGATGAACATGAATACAAAAAAAAGTGGACGATAAAAAAGACACGACGACGAAAAAAATTGATTTAGCTTAATAATTTGTTGACAATCACATTTGGTTTACAAAAAAAAAACAGATTTACATTTGTACATAATTTTAGCAAAGCGAAAATACGGAAATAGACCTAAATATTTGACCAAATGAACAGTGGGACAACCACTTTTGAAATTGTAGTTACCAATGAACAACTTGTTAGTGTTAATAAATATCAAAAATTACATGGAACACTAATTAAATTAATCAATTTTAATGTTTTTTTTAGTTTAAAAAAATTATAATACAACTATTATTTTTTTACTACTGCTTACAGATCTTCATCTTTAACGACGTAAAATTGTAACCTAAGCATTATGAAATTCTGATAATAAATTTTGGGACGAAAATGATTGTACTTTCAACCAAGAAAACACATTTTAAAACGGTACTATTAGGCCGTTTGGGCAAACTTATTTATGATTTTTGCCTGACAGGTATTATTTCTTAAAAAGGGGCGTACTAAGTGGTTTAAATTTATTGTTCAAATTAAAAGATTTATCAATTTATAATAACATAAAAAAATATATATGATAACAATAAAAACCAGATATTTTAAATTTGTATAAGTCAATAATTCTCAAATTACAGTTGTTTATGTTTTAGTTTTGGAATTGTCACGTCAATTCCCACTGTGCATTCAGCGCGGGAAGAGAAACAAACACAAGTGTGTTTGTCCAGTAAGGCAAACAAATAAAACATAATAACATCGTAAAGTACTTACCAATTTAAAAATGTCTTTTGTGTTCCGGCCCGCTGTGTCCGGCCGATGCAGTTTTTGCCCTTATTTGTGGGCCAACTTTTGTTGATATTTTGGAGCACGTGTTCGCCTACTGATTTGTGGGTGGATGGGTGTGGGTGTGCTCACCTCTTTCGCACAAAAACACACACAATTGTTTGTGGTTTGCGCCGCTTTATTTTTGAACGTTTGTTTGTTTTCGACTTCCCCGCACAATTGATTTATTTTGCGCAAATTGGCGAATTTAGTGGGGATTGTTATTTGGATTTGCGTAGTTTTACGTTCTTCTTTGCGGTCGGGCCTCTCTTTCGCACACAGAAGAGACTCTCGAGTGGCAATAAGAAAAAATGGCCGCGCACGCCAAAAATATACACACACACCTACGCACACCAGCACACACACGCGCTCGCAAGTTTCTGTACTTGTGCTTTTTGCCCTTTTTTTTGTCAACTACCGAATTTTTTTCGGCCACCGACTACCGACTGCTATTAATTGCAATTACAACAAGCACGTTTGGGGCCGTGGGGCGCGGGAGCGTAAGCTCGGCTCTTCGGTTGTTTACGTCGCGGCAAACCGTAAACACAACAGAAGGAGAACTGTTCGTGTCGAGTCGAGTCAAAAAACTGACTGAAAAAAATCACAGCGAAGAGCGCGTTTTTTCTTTTTAGGCAAACGGCGGACGAGAATGAGAGAGCGCTCCCTCTTGCTCTCTCTGGATTCCGGTTTTTTGTTCCCGGCGCCTCTGAATTTTTTTGTATTAAAATCGGGGAGGGAGGCGTGCTCTTTTTTTTGAAATACCGAATTTAATTGGGCCAAATTCATCCAGCCACATCCATCTTCTTCCTTTTTCAACCTTCCGGGAGTCTTTGACCCTTTCGATTTCACCGACTCTTTTAAGGACTACATAGCTGTTCATATTTACTGATAAGTTCTAGTTTTAATTTAAATAGAATGAAATGGCTTAGACTCAGGAGTGGTGGGTATATACATACATAAGTATTATCTTATGTCTGGTACCTTTTATTAAAACCATTTACAATGATGGGCTTAATTATTAAAACAGAAAGAGTATTGAGTATTCAATGCATTCTACCGGGCGTCTTTGACCCTTTTGATTTGATCGACTCCTTTAAAGACCACATTTTAATCTTCTTTAAATTTAAGTAGTGTAAAATGACCACGAATCTATAAATGCAGAAGTTAAGCGCACTTCATTGAAACCACTTACAAGAAGAACATTTTAGGCCCGTTATTTCGTCTTCATCGTGAGCTAAAAGAGGTTTTTAAACTGAGAAAACGTATTTAATCTTACAATTTTCAATTTTATAACTCAAAGTCTTAGGCGAAAAAACTGTCCATAGACTGTTTAAATTGTTTTTACAATTAACCAAATTTTTCATTTAGAATTAATATTTTTCAGCTTAGTTCACTTAAGAGAGTTATTATTTAGATATAATACCTATCTATCACCGTCTCTAAAATTATACACTTTTCAGCTCTAACACAAATTATTTTCCTGAACATATTTGATTTTAAGTTATTAAAATTAATCGTTAAATTAGATTAAAAAAGTGTAAAAGAGCAATAATCAAAATTAAGTCACCGAATTTAGGAAAAAAAGGGAAAAATTTGAAAGTGTGTCAAAGTTAAATTTATTTTGGGAGATTCTGATCCTTTAAGGGCTAACAGAAGGTTTCGTTTGCCATATCAAAGGTAAATGAAGATTTTAATGAATTGGAATTGGGCTGTTTTTAAGATCTTCAAGTTTTAGACTAGTCTTTTTTTAAACAACTTTTCATACACAACAAAATAATTAAAATAATAATGCATTACAATGTAACTCGATCTGCCTAAATTCGAAAATGTATGGCATAGTACATATTTTTATTAAATTTTTAATAATTAAGTTATAATATATGGTTTAAAATAGCATGAACAAAGTTACACCTAATAAGACGTACTTTGCCTTTACTTATTGTTAGCGACCTAAGGAAATTCAAATAAAACAGTAATCCTGTTACTTTCAGGTCTGAGTCTTAAACTGTAACGGACACGCGGTAAGATTTTTTGTCAGCAATGATTCCTTGTGTTGGCAACGCCTATTTGAAAAAGAGAACGATTTTATAGATTTCGTTGCACGGCCACACTGGTGTTATAATAAGCAGGGACTTACTCCGCGTGTATCCGGAACACAAACCATTTGGCGGGTGTATCGATTAACAGCGAGTTTCCTATTGTTATAGGAGCATGTATGTTATTTATATCGCTCACAGAACAAAAACAGCTATTTTTTTTATTTCATCTTTATTATTATGTTAAAAAATATTTGTTGTAAAAAATAGAAGGAATTGCACTAGTTTAAAATTTTGTTTGATGCATGGAAGGAGACGATAAAAAGATAACAGTTCAACAGCTTATAAACATTCAATTCGATATATCGGTGACGTCGTGAGTGGCTAACCCAGCTCTAAATCAACACACACACGTGACGACAATGAGTAAATTCAACCATTCCGTAAAAGTTCCCACCCAATACAAGGTTACCGCCAAGATTCTAAAGGCGGCGCTGGAGAAACAGAGGTCCATCAAGAGCCTGATCTTCGAGGAGAAGCACGCAGTGAGTGGGCAGGTCCTCCAGGCCAAGAATCGCGCGAATACAGCGTTTTTCCCTCTCGCACTTGCAGCGTGTTCGCAGTTTACATGCGGTGCTAAACCATTATAGCGAAAATCGGGGCGCCGTGGACAACGCCATCGCCGAAACAGGACTGCTCAAGGATAACCCCAATCTCGACATCTGTTTGGCCAAGGTTTTAGTCACCGAATTGATCTTTGGCAGGAAGAGTCTGAACGGCGATAGCAAACCCGTGCAAACAGTGCGAAGTTACGAGGAGAAACTGCATCAGGTCATCGGTGAATCCGGCTACAAGAAGAAAGGCAGGTTCCCCTATCACCTACCAGTATTAGCCGGCTGAGATGGGCAAGAAGAACCGGAGACAGCAAGCGGAGGCGGTGGCAGCTGCCATCGATGATCCTCCGGCTGTCGCTGATCCGGTGCAGCATTGTCCCCAGGAGGAGGACACCAGTACCGAGGTTTTCCTCTGGCTGCTGGCCTACAGTGTGCTCATGTTCACGCTGCCCTTCTTGGGCTTCTACGGCGTGCGCAGTTGGCTGCAGGAGTCCTTCCCTCATCTGGACATCTTCACGGTCAACTGTTGGTCTGTTCTTACGGCTGTTCTGGTCGTAAACCTTGTGGTGGCCATGTATGTGCTGAAGGCTTTCCGCGAGAAGCCGCCGCCACCTTTGGAACAGGTCCAACAGGATGTGGATGAGGATGAAGAGCCTGAAGCCATAGAGCCCAAGAAGGAGCAGTAACTTAATAGACTACGAGCATCACTTGTGAACCACTTAAAGATGAAGTTGTCTAAAAAAAGACTAGTCTAAAACTTGAAGATCTTGAAAACAGCCCAATTCCAATTCATTAAAATCTTCTTTTACCATTGACACAGCAAAAGAAGCCTTCTGTTAGCCCTTGAAGGATCAGTAACTCTTACTACACAAAAATAAATTTAACTTTGACACACTTTTAAACGCTGCTTTTATTTGTCTTTTTGTTCGCCCACACAGAACTCAATCCCCGCTATGTGCGCATCAATACGAATATATTCAGTTTGGCCGAGGCCCTGGAGTATCTGGCTGGAGAGGAATGGCGGCGCAAGGAGCTGCCGGCGGATGCAAGCTACCCGGATTTCTTGGTTGCAGTGAAAGCACTGGAGGAGGATGAGTTCATGACGGATATGCATGTGGAGGGCGTGCTCATCTTTCATTCCAAGTGGGCGCACTATTGGGCCAGCCATGACTTGGTGCGCAGCAGAAAGTTGATTTTGCAAAACAAGGCAACCTGTTTAGCCGCCGAGTTGCTCGCACCGCCGGCAGGAGCCACTGTCCTGGACATGTGCGCCGCTCCCGGCATGAAGACGTTGCACCTGTGCAACGTGATGCAGAACAAGGGACGCATCTACGCCGTGGAGCAGTCGACGGAACGATATAGGGCACTGTGTAACATCACCGAGGAGGCTGGATGCGAGATTGTGTCGCCCATTCTGGGCGATGCGTTGCATTTGGGTGAGTTTTTGGAAATGAAGTGGAAGTACGTTTACAAATACTATCTATCTCTTTCAGATGGCCAACGCTGCCCAGACGTAGAGTACATTCTGGTGGACCCCAGTTGCTCGGGGAACGGAATGCAGAACCGCCTTTCATTGTGCGACGAGGAGAAGGACGACCATCGACTGTACAAGCTGGCCGGTTTGCAGATCAAGATCCTTTCGCACGCTATGTGTGCCTTCCCAAACGTAAAGCGCATTGCGTACTGCACTTGCTCGCTGTGGAAGGAGGAAAATGAGCAGGTGGTGCAGCGTTGCCTACAGATGAACCCATCCTTTAAGCTGCTCAGCTGCAAGAAGGCGTTGCGCAACAAATGGCAGAATGTGGGCGACAAGGAGTATGCCAACATTGGCAAGAACTGTCTTTACTGCCTGCCGGATAGCGATTTGACCGATGGCATTTTCGTCGCGCTCTTTGAAAAACGTAAGGAAGGAGACACAGATAATTAGTTTAAAAGCAACAAACAGAATTAAACGCTTTAAATGTAAACTAAATCTTTATTTGGCACCTATGCCATTGAATTTTTTCAACTTCAGTTTTATACATCTTTATAAAAAAATAAAAAAAATATATATATTAATAAGCATATAGTTACATTATGTGAAGATCAATTGTTGAGAACACGATTCAATAAATATATAACATTTATATAGATATGTGTGTTGGAATGTATATTAGATACATGTAATAAAAAAATTGTTCGCTTATCTATCAATAACTGCGGAATGTCAAAATTTAAAAACTTACAAAGGAAATGTATATGTAGCCGATTTTAACGAAAGTTCTCCTTGCTCTTTCATTTAGCAAGTTTCAAATTAAATTCTAATGTTTGATACGATTGACAGTTCAAAATTCAAAGTGTTCTTTTTCAAAATTTAGTACAGATTATATATCAATTGCAGATACATATATCGAAATTTTTCCGGCTGCAAACGAACATTTTACAAAATGAGGGCGTCCACTTGCAGACCAGTTCCTACCATTAACTTTCGGATTGTGAGATGTTTCTATCGGCCACGACGATTGAACAAATATTACGATATTGTGAGTACTTTTCCATTACAAAATAGGTTTCCTTTTCACAGAAACAGACATAAATTATTTGAATTATTAAATTTGATTTGAGTGTTTGATCGTTGCATATACGATACGAAATATAGGCACGATAAGTTTTAAACTTAATAAAATCGAACGCGCCAGGCGCTATTTAGGTGAATAATCTATCTGGTAAATCCAGTCTTGATCAGAACGCGTATATATATTTCTGATTATATAAACGCTGCAGATGCTGCCAGAGCTCTGCTCCTTCTGGATGTGCTCTCTAAACCTTCATCTGTTGCTTGTAGTAACTGCTCTTGGCCAGGCGGAATGACTCCGCCTTGATCGCATCCTCCATGGTGATGATTGGCTTCTTGGGGCAGTATTTAATGGTGTGCGCCGAGTCCC